AATGCCAACGTCAGGGGCTGGAAAGCAGGGTTAGCAAGATGCCACAGAGAGGACGTTATGAGGAAGTACCGCCAGGGAGTTGAAGCAAACGTAGGGGTTGGAGGGCAGATCGTGGAGGGCTTCGTAGGCTGTCGGAGGAGCTTGAAACTTCTCTGAGTGAAGTGGGGAGCCACTGTAGGCTCTGAACAGGGGGTGTTGTGCTCTGATTTACAGAGAACTGAGAGAGAGGCAAGTGCAATACAGAGGCTTTAATTTAAAACAAACATACTGAGTCAATTTAAGGAACTTAAGGGCTCACGAATTAGGTTACAGGTTGTTTAGAAGTAGTAGTAGGACCAATGCTCCTGTTTCAGCCACCCAATCACTGCATTTAGGTCTCTGTGCAAATATCACCTCCTCCAGAGGTCCTCCATGATTGCATTTATATAAAATCATGGCTCCCCCTCTGAATTTATCTCCTTACCCTACTGCTTTGTTTATCTTCGTAGTGCTCATCACTCCTTGGCAATATATCATAGGCTTATTTAATTATTTCCTATCTCCTTTAGTAGAATGTAAACTCTGAGAAGGTGAGAATCTTGCTTTTTTGGTTATCACTGTAACTCGACACCTAGAGCACCTGGCTCAGAGGGGGGATTCAGTACCAATTTGTTGAATGAATGAATAAATGTTCCAGGAGTCTAGGAGAACCCTTAAGTTCTAATTTAAAAAAATAGACTACGGAACCGGGGATTAAATAGTTAAAAATAAGCTGTCTACAAAATTGTAGACCATTTTCCATCAGTAGCTGGTTTCACATTTTTACTCTTTAGAGTGATGACAGTCCACTGTAATGTTTCATTGTGTTTTTCATGAAATTGCTATATCCATATTGTGGAAAATATGGAAAATGGGAGAAAAAGAATTTAAAATTTTATGTTCCTCTACATCGTGATTAACAATTTAAAGTCTTCTGTGTAGTTTTTAAAGTTTGCTGCATTTTTACATGGCCTTGATATATCCAGAGATCAAACGATTTTCTCTGAGCTTTAAAGTTTTATCTAAACTTTCTTCTGAACTTTATTTTTTTCTATAAATTTATTTACTTATTTATTTATTTTTATTTTTGGCTGCATTGGGTCTTCGTTGCTGTGCCCGGGCTTTCTCTAGTTGCGGTGAGCGGGGGCTATTCTTCGTTGCGGTGCAAGGGCTTCTCATTGCGGTGGCTTCTCTTGTTGCGGAGCACGGGCTCTAGGTGCGCGGGCTTCAGTAGTTGCGGCGCGTGGGTTCAGTAGTTGTGGCTCGCGGGCTGTAGATCTCAGGTTCAGTAGTTGTGGTGCACGGGCTTAGTTGCTCCACGGCATGTGGGATCTTCCCCGACCAGGGCTCGAACCCGTGGTCCCCTGCATTGGCAGGCGGATTCTTAACCACCGTGCCACCAGGGAAGTCCTCTTCTGAACTTTAAATGCATGTGGTTGTATATGGAAACCAATAAGAAAATACAAGCCATCCAGTAACTTAAGCTCTTTACATCTACATTCCATTAAATGAAGGATTCCTGAACTAGTTTCTAGAGATATTGAGAACATTTCCCCTCTTCAATCCAAGCTCTCATTTTGCCTGATTTAAATTTATTGACTAGTGTGGGATTTTAACCTGCTAAGAAAAACATAAAGAATTTCAAGGAGAATTCTCAGAATAATAAAACCTCATTCGTTCTAAGTCCGCCGTGCCCAGTTAGAAATCTCATATCCCTACAGTTTATCTTAATACTTCCTACAAATGAGTACGGCATTATTAAGCAAAATCAATAACATAAAGAGTTGGAAGAGAAAAGCTCACCTACTAAAGATAAACTGCTTCCCACCACCTTAGCAATATCATATACAAAACAGTGTAACTGCAGCATGAACAGGGGCCGGCCCTCGTGGATGGGCTGACACAGTAACTGCACATTAGGGACCATACATCTCTGGTGGAAACCGTTTCGCTGCCAGGTGACCAGACTCATGGGTGCAAAATGAGGAATGACCAAGCCGGGCAATGTGGAAGGACTGCCGAAAATCTAAGAAATTTATCTTTGCAGCAAACAACTTGGAAAATGATGAAAGGTTCTTTGCCTCTTGCTGTTCACTCAGGATGTGGCAATAAAAGTTCATTTGTTTTACTCACTAGAATCCCAGACACAGCAAGTTGAATGATGCTGTAGAAAGGGGAAGGATGAATGACAGGAAAACGACGTGTTTAGAGACTAAAGAGGAGACAGGGTGGAGGGGTGAGAAGGTAGTTAAATCAGATACCAAGGGGCTAGGTTCTCGGCCACCCACGTTGGTAAGGCCATTGTGAGGGGGGTTGAAGATCCTTGCACTTAAGATAAGAGCTGACAATGATGTCCCTTCCTAACTCGTGGGCCTGAACTAGGCTACGGAACATAAAGGGTTTTAAAAAATATAAACGATGATGATACTACTACTAATAACGGGGTGTTAACAATTTCTTGAGAACTTCTGGGATGATAGCCAATATTTTACTCTACATGTTGTTATGGACGGAATTGTGTTACCCCCTCTCCCCCCTGCCCAAATTTATATGTGAAGTCCAAACCCTCAGTGTGACTGTATTTGGAGATGGGCCTTTACGGAAGTAATGAGGTTAAATGAGGTCCTAAGGGTGGGCCCTGATCCAACAGGACTGCGTTTCTTTCTTTTTGTTTTTTTTTTTTTGCGGTACGCGGGCCTCTCACTGTTGTGGCCTCTCCCGTTGCGGAGCACAGGCTCCGGACGCGCAGGCTTAGCGGCCGTGGCTCACGGGCCCAGCCGCTCCGTGGCATGTGGGATCTTCCCGGACCGGGGCATGAACCCGTGTCAACAACAGAACAGAAAAAAGCAGACAGCGGTAAGTGCAAAGACAAAAATAAAACCGGAAGTTGTGGTGACAGGCGGCGGCCAGCCTGGTGCTTTCCTCCACAGCCAGTTACTGAGACCACAAACAGGACACAGCTCCGAATCCTCGGGCAACTCCTAATGGGGGCTGGCAGGCCCCAGACTCAATGTCCCCTGTTTCTTCCTCTATAAAATGGGCTTTTGCTCTAACAGTCTATGGCTTCTTTGATTAAGTCAGGAAGTTACTCCGGCAATATTTACCCTAACTCAGTTATTAGGTATGATGGAAATAATAAATACTATAATAAAATGTACCCTCTCCTTTAAAGGATTCCTGAAATTTTCCTGTGAGAGACACAAAGTTTTCAGGAAGAAAGGAGGGAGGGGGAGGGATCATTTAACTGGATCTGAACAGGCTTTCGCTAGGACAGTAATCTTTATTTAAGCCCTGGGATGCTGACCGTGTAATACCATACCTGTGGTCAGACACTTCCCATCTTCACCGGGGAGGGAATATAGAGAAAGGAGTTTGAGATGAAACATGGAAACTTAAGGTCAGTATAAGGGAGGGTTTGGGGGCCCTGTACAGAAATAAGACATTGGAGAAAAGTGACAAAATGATGCATTCTTTTTCTCTGGAGAGCTTAATCAACCAAAGAAACTGTATCTTGGTAAGTCTCGCCCAGAAGTAGAAGGACGATGTGACTCGCCAGAGGGATGCCTTGGGGCCAGGAGGCTCTGCTAATGAACAAAGGCGGTTTGAAACAGTACAGCTTCACACCCTACCTGCTGCATCCCCTGCCACTAGGGCGAGAGCAGTGCCACCTCCTACTTGCAGCGTTTCAGGGTGGCAATGTGTGCTAAGAAAAAATACTTCCAAAGTGCCATCAGGAGGCTCCATGGCAGGAATGAATGGGGTGAACTGTACCACCAGAGGAATAAGGACCAACTCACTGAAGACAGTGGAATCAGACAGAAGCGTCCAAGTTAGAAACAGCCTGCCTTTCTGTATCAGAACACAAACTAAGCATGTAGAAGACCTACAAAAACATGGAAAACTGACTGCACTGTCAGAATTACAGGATCACTTTGATGATCAGGGTGGACCTTTAAAGTGCAACATGTGATTTAATAATCTGGCCCAACAAATAATACTGGCCTCAAATAATAAGATCTAGAACAGACAATTATTACTGATGACTGTAACAAGACTGGAATAACAGTTCATCATTTCTCTTAAAGCCTTAAATGAAGGATGGTGAGAGGAAGGGGAGGGGAGTGAAGAATAGTTAATATACTGGGCAAACCACTGCGTACCTTCGTATTTTTTTTTTTTTTTTTTTTTTTTTTTTTTGCGGTACGCGGGCCTCTCCCGTTGCGGAGCACAGGCTCCGGACGCGCAGGCTCAGCGGCCATGGCTCACGAGCCCAGCCGCTCCACGGCATGTGGGATCTTCCCGGACCGGGGCACGAACCCGTGTCCCCTGCATCGGCAGGCGGACTCTCAACCACTGCGCCACCAGGGAAGCCCCGTACCTTCGTATTTAAAGGCAGTAGTTCAATCAGCAAAAGACACAGGATAAGTTCACCAGCAAACGCTTCTGGACACATTCACAGCGCATTTGTCATCACTGGAAATATTATCATTTGAAATATGTGTACATTTATATAAAATTATATATAATTTTCTCCACTTTGATTTCTCCTGTTGTTGGGAGATGGACTGCCCCCAAAAATCTGTTAGAGAAATTCTAGATGCTTGTGGATTTTTAACATTTGTCCTGGGAACCCCTAGTGCCTTAAAGAGCCTGAGCAATTAAATTCACCCCAGCTGTGTGTGTTCAGACACCAACAGGCTCACCACCAGTACTGACACCATTCCTCGGGCCACATCATTTGTCTCAGCATCCTATGGTTTGATTCCAGTGCTGAGAAAAAGGGAGCTTTCGTTCCCTCTATAATAGCAACCACTTCAGCGCTGTCTGCTACATCCTCTGATCTCTCCAGAAGTGTCTGGAGTTTTAAAGGTTCAAACTCTGACAAAGTGATACAGAAAACTGAATCCAACTCCAAGAAATATGCACACAGATTCCATGCACGGCTTTTTTCTGACTCATGGAGACTGGAGTGGTCCCCTTACCTTTATCATAGATTTCCTTCAAGACCCCTCGTTTTATTAGCTCCTCTCTGCTTTGCCTCATCGATATTTTCCTTTCCAGGGCTGTGAGCAAAACACAGAGAAGCAGGGGTGAGTAGGTAACAAAGACGTTTCTAAAAAGCATCATATTTTAAGATGTATTGAAATGTAATATATGGGAAAGCTTCCGTAAGTTATACTTTACTAATATAAGCTAATGATACCAGTTAATACGTTTTGATACTATGATCAGCATTTTAATCCAATTATTTAATCATCAAGACAATCAAATTACCTATGAGGTAGGCATTTTTAATCTCATTTTATTTAACCGTGATATATGGTTGAGGAAACTGTACCATAGAGCAGCTCAACAACCTATCAGAGTCATACTGAGAAGAGCGTCCAGGATTCAAAGCCAGAACCTCTGCCCTCGGCTTAACCTCTGCATCACATCTTCCTGAGTGTGGCCTTTCCTCATAGGTGGGATTTCTTTTTTAATTACCTAGTTCATACAGATCATGTCTCATTGAGGATTTTGTTGCTTCCCAACTATTTTAAAAGTCATTTGAAAATATCTCCTAAAAAGCTCCCTGGATTGGTACCCAGGTTCCCGAGGAGAGCCTAGGGGGCGGTGGGAGACCTCCATGCGACACCCACCCACTGCTCTCCTCTCTTGGCTCCAAACAAGGAACGGACTGTTCAGTTCCCAAACACACTTCCACTTGACCAGCCATTCACCTGAGCCAACCGTTCGGGCAGGTGGGAGCTGCAGGGGGGAAGAGGGAGCGCTTCCTCTCCGATCAGTGGGTATGATGGAGGGCAAGGCAAGTGGAAACAGAGCCCCAGAGTGGGGAAGTGAGGGCAGCACGAAAGGGCAGGCCTGTGGCCCCAGGTAGGGAAGGGGAAACCAGCAGAACCTGTAGAGGAAAGAAAGCTATTCCAGCAGCTGACATTTCAGTAAACACGGAATGGAGGAGGTGAGAGGTGACAGCAATCACTTCTGTCAACTTGAGATTCTTTACATCCTTTGGATACACAATTATTCAGGGGGGGAAAATACCAGTTATAAAATAAGGAAACAATTTTATGCACACAAATTTAGATGCAGGTTACACATACACACACACACACACACCTCAACAGAAGTTAATGCAAAGAATATGAGTAAGAACTAGAAAGAAAGCAAGGAAACAAGAATTGTGATTGCAACTATGTTACCCACTAGCTGTGTGCTCTTAATCAAGTCACTTCTCCAGTCTGGGAAGACTCTGGTGACTCCACCCCAGCCACCACGATTTACCCACAGACGTGAGGGCAGGAAGGTTGTACGGAAGGGCAAGGGTTAGAGGTGAGTGGGAGAATCAATGGAGTGGTGTTCGTTTTGGGAGGTGAAGGAGTTTTATGCCCCAACCCAAATAGCAAGATATGGTGGGAAGAGGGCAGACGGGGTTCTCGTGCAGAAGAGGGATGCCCAGGGAAGGGGAAGAGAGGTGCGTGCAGCTCGGTTAGAAAGTTCTGCCTGATTTTTAAAAAGATTTGCTCAGCAGCACAATGGGAAAGACTGAACAGGCAAGATGAAGCGGGGGTTTTTAAGTAAAAAGTTTGTTAGCGATCTTTTGGGTGAATAAACAGGTGCTTTGCCATCCTGTACTGAACCATGTAAATGAACAGATTTCTCTTCAACAAAATGAGGATTCCCAGGGGCTTTTCAAAACCGTGGAGTAAAGAGGATGTACCTGACCCACGGCACTCAGGGAAGGATCTGCAGCGAGCCGGACAGAGCCCTAGACGCAGAGGCCCGAGATCTCAAGTATCAGCAGAATATGGTCACTGTCAGGCCAACCACTTAGGTATCCGGACCTCAGCTGTCTCTCCACATTCATTCAACAACTGAGGACCAGCTGCCTGGAGTGCAAAGCTACTCTGTCAGGGACTGGAGATGATGGTGACCAAAGGGACAGCCCCTTCCTCACAGGGATTATAGACTAATGTGTGATTCAGTCATCAAATGATGATATCACCTAATATGTGACTGCAAATTGAGATGGGCCTCATAAAAGAAGACATGGTTCCTTGGGGCTTCCCTGGTGGCACAGTGGTTAAGAATCTGCCTGCCAATGCAGGGGACACGGGTTCGAGCCCTGGTCGGGGAAGATCCCACATGCCGTGGAGCAACTAAGCCCGTGCGCCACAACTACTGAGCCTGTGCTCTAGAGCCCACAAGCCACAACTACTGAGCCCGTGCACCACAACTACTGAAGCCTGCACGCCTAGAGCACGTGCTCCGCAACAAGAGAAGCCACCGCAATGAGAAGCCCACGCACTGCAAGGGAGAGTAGCCTCCACTCACCGCAACTAGAGAAAGCCCGCATGCAGCAACGAAGACCTAACGCAGCCAAAAATAAAATAAATAAAATAATTAAAAAAAAAAAAGATGATGACATGGTTCCATCAGAGCATATGATAAATAACCTCCTCCACCGGGGAGTTAGAAAAGGCTTTTCTGAGGAAGAAACCCCAGAGCTGAGTTTGAAAGATAAATATACCTTATCTTAGCCCAGGGCAGTTGGGTAGGAGCTGACGGAAACACTCCAGATAGAGCAAGCTTGGCAACGGCTCCTGACGGAGGAATCAGGGTGCCGTGGACAAGCAGAAAGCAATCTGGTGTGAGTGTACCACCAGCACCAGGTGTAGAATGATGGTTTAAGATGTGGCCAAAGGGGCAGGGGGCCTGGGCCATGCAAAGGCCTTACTGACCATGTTATTCTAAGGGAAATGGGAAGAAGTGATCAGATTTAAGTATCTGAAAGACCAACGCCCATTTTAGTGTGGAGGATGGATTGGAGGGAGGCCGGTTACCAGGTGATTACAGAAGTCTGGGCAGCGGGTGATGGCAGCTACCCTAAGATGCTGAAGACAGACACAGAGACAAGGGATACACTCAAGACACGTGAAGGTGGCAATGTTGCCACGACCTGAAGGTAAGGATTGGCCATGGGGTGTGCAGGGGAGAGAGGGGTCAACAAGGACTCCTTGGTTCTTGAGTAACTAAATGGACAGTGGTGTCAATTACTACGGTAGGGGACACAGAAGGAGAATCAGGCATGGAGGGAGGATGGTGAGCTCAATGTCATCAACGCCCAGGAGGAGCTATCAGGTATGTGCTCGGGAAATGTAGTGGGGATACATCATGAAACAGGGATGATGAGACTGTCCTAGACAGGGCAGTGTTTCTCAAATTTTTCCATGTGATCACTCCTAATGGTAAAGGAGTAATGCCAGGGGCTCCAAGGGTATGACTGAAGTTGCCTGTCCCAAGCATGCCATTTCTTTAATGTATTGAGTTTTTCCTTAAGAACGAAGGTGGAGCTCACAAAATATATCTGCTCTTATTTAAATAAGAAAGTACCCCCCCTCCACCCTCTCCCACATGCACACCAATTTCCACCTTTAACTGACATTCCGGGAAGAGGTGGCTTATTTATGCCTTGGCTTTGTCCATTTCCTGTGCAGAACCCTGTGCCCAGAGAGGACACACAGATCATTGTGAGAAGGGTGGATGTCATGTCATTTGATTTAATCTTCACCACAGTCCTGCGAAGTGTTATTATTCCCATTATACAGATGTGGCACCTGAGGCCTGGCAAAATTAACTTGCTCAGGGTCACAGAGCAGTAAGTAGAAGAGCAGAAAGAGATTTTAAAGCCTGTGGGGTTTTTTTTTTGCCTCCACAATACCACTTTATTATGGAGATTGTTATTATGTATATAGGCTCTAAATATAATGTAATGTATACCGCTTTAAAAATGGAAGGCAAGAATAAACAACAAGGTCCTATTGCACAGGATACTATATTCAATATCCTGTGATAAACCATAATGGAGAAGAGTATGAAAAAGAATGTGTATATGTGTCTAACGGAATCACTTTGCTGTACAGCAGAAATTAACACACTGTGAACCAACTATACTTCAAGGGAATAAGTTTTTAAAATAGAAGGCAATTTTATTACTAGTTTATTTGGGGCTGAGCATCACAGTAAAATACCATAATTACACTTTGGTTCAGGAGCTTCTTCTTTCTAAGGCACTCTTCACCATCTCTCTTAACGAGGTATACACGATGCCTCTCTGCTAATCTTATTTTCAGCAGTTCCTCCAAAGTTCCAGCTAAGTTTAACTGGGGTCAAAGACAAGCTCACCCACTGCCCGAGGGAGTGAAATAAAATGGGCTCTTGGTGCAGGAGGACAACTCAAATCACCTGACCTGGGCTACGACTAAGCCATAAACCCCCGGGGGGAGAGGATTCCATGTGGCCAGAAAGAAAATATAACAGTTTCCTTTTCACCAGCCAAGGCTAGGTCCAATCCTCCCTCTCCAACAATTCTGGCTTTGGGTAAAACAAAGACAAAAAAAGAAGAGAAGAGAAGAGATTATGAAAAGTTAAGGAAGTCAGAAGATGAGGAACAATGCATCGGGGAAGAGAAGGTATGACGTGTAGTGCATCTGTCCAAAGGATAGGAGGAATAAATCAGGTAAGTGCATACCGAGGTGTGATAGGGAGCTGATTAACTGGGGGATGTTGGTCTCTGGGAGATGGGAAATGGAAGTTAACAGAACAACATCATTTATCTCTTAAAAGGAAAATAAAACTGAAAAGCTACTTCATTACACTTGTGGCAAAAAGCACACAAGTAGGTAGCATTTTTATATAAAAAAATAAAGTCAGTAAGGACTTACTTTAAAATAAGAAAATCTACTATATAAGGATCACTCCAATATTATTCAGTTATTAAAGCACAGGGCAAATAAAATCTGAGTGACCACACATGGGCACGTGCTGGTGTAAACTTTTTGGTTATGAAACTGGACTGTAGTGATGGTTGCACAACTCTTCAGTTTTACTAAAATCATTGAGCTGTACTCGTCCAAAGCATTAATTTTATGTTGTGTAAATTACACCTCAATCAAGCTGTTATAAAAAAAAAATAGTGACCACCAGGGCAAAAACATGAGTTAAAAACAAAAACAGTAAATCTAAGCAGACGATTAAATTAAACTTTAGGCCACAGTCAGCAAGA